AGAAAGGAAGAAAAGGTGGGATGGATAGGAGAGGGAGAGACTAAACACACACACATTTTAGTTTCCCTAAATGACATCAGCACAGTTTAATTATGCCTCCTCTGACTGGACTGTTCTTAAAGAAGAGGCATTGTGTCATCTTCCTCTTTGCAGCTCTAGTACCCAGCACAGGACAGGTGCATCGTGGGAACTAAATGAATGAAGTTACCAGATGTCTTAGCCATCAAGGATGTCCAGGCCAGCTTTCAGGTGGACAGACAGACATACCTAGCAAGGATCCTCTCAAACTCTAGGTCATATTAGCCTGCTCTGAGCCTCTGCACTAGGTGTCTACTGGGCAATAACCTCAAGGAAGAACACTGGGCTGGGAAGCAGGATACCCAAGTTCCAGCCCCAGCACAATGAGGGATGAGGCCAGGGAACTAGACAGTCCCATCCTGGGATGCTATGGGTCCAAGATGCTGCAGTTTGAATCCAATCCCACATTTGACTCTCTGCTCCCCATGCCCCAGGGAGTGTCCACCTGGTCCATAAGGTGGAGGCTTCCATGCTTGCTGAGTCTGGGACAGACTGCAACAGGTAGGAATCACTCCTGCCACAATCAGGCTGAGTGGAAGGAAGCAAGCCCAACAGTCATAGAGGGTATTTCTCAATCTCAGACTGTTAGACAAGGAGGTGTATCTTTGTATTTGCCAATAAACCACTTTCCCAAGGAAAAACAACAGGACAAACTAGTTTAAAGTACTAGCTACATAATCTCCCAAAGTTAAAGACCTGGACAAGGGGAGGCTCCTCGTGCCTTCCCCAACTCTGAGGATGAGGCTCTACCCCAAGCCAGAAAGTGATGAGGCTCCAAGACTCAAAGGGGAGAGAGAGCCCTTCCCCAAGCTGAGGGCTGGGACAGATGTCCTCAAAGTACATTTTGTCCTGGGCAGCCTGCTTGTGTCCACATGTGTGAATACATGAGAAGGGGGGAGAGGGGAATAGCATGCTGGTGGAAAAACACCTGAGAGCTGAGAGCCAGCAGGGACGCAGATAGTGCTTTGTCTTCCCAAGGGCACAAACCACTACAGAAGCTTGGTTAACAGCCCCCACAAAAGCTGGGGAAGTTGACTCATGGACAAGTGCTCTCCCAGGACCCTGGCTACCTATGGTGGCTGTTTGCTGGTCCAGGTGCCCATGGCTCTCTGGTGCCCACCTCTAGATTAGAGTCGTTTGAACAAATGAAGAGGATCTCTTCAAAGCATAGATGGGCAAAGGAAGCCTCTGGGTTTAAGCAGTCCTATACTCACCCCCCACACCCCATACACCCTTGAGCGGACTGTAGCAGCTGTACCAGGCCCCAGTTGAGCCCCCAGGTCAGTCCTGCCTCCCCTAACCAGTCCAACCTAAGGTCCTGCCCACCTTCTACCTAGCCCCTCTCTGGGCTGGCAGTGCCAAGGCCAGCACCAGTCAAGTCACGCTGAGTTGCCACCAAATCTGAGCAGAGACGAACATTCCAGGAAAAGAAAATGCAAGACCGCTGCTCCTCCCAGGTCGAACACCCAGGCAGCCAGGAAAGGGGGCCTTGTGACCACGTTACGTGGACCAGATGCTACACAACCTGAGGGCCAAGAGGACAGTGCCTGCAGGCCTGAACTTTCTGGGAGAACTCCCCCGGGAACTTGGAGGAATACTCAGGAAAGGCCCACCTCCCCCACTGCAGTCCCTACTCCTGAAGGCCTCCCACTAGCCCACAGGGGGATCCTGAGGCAGGGCCTACAATGAATGGCTCAACACACTGCAACTTGCCTTATGTCACAAAGACTAGACAGAGGCAGGATTCAAGCCCAAGTCTTTCTGAAGTCTATCCAAGGCTCTGACAACCCATGAGAGATCAAACAGACACCATCAACAGCCTGGTCTGGTGTCTGGCTCCTCCAGGGAAGGGCATGCCCATTGCCCTCCACGTACCAAACAGGAGCTTATCACAGTGTCTGGCCCAGACCCCTGGACACCAGAAAGTAGAGCCAAGTCAAGGAAAGGAACTGCAAGTAGTGAAAAGGCCACAGTTCTAAACCCCACGGATGCTTTCTCCCATCAACCTCAAAACCACCCCGCAGGGGCTTTGATTGACACCTGCTCAGATGAACAGATGGGCTCAATTCCCCCCAACCCACACACTCCTAGAGAGACTTTCAGCCTCCTCGAGACCCCCTCTCAGCCAGGAGCCCCCATTCAGAGAGCTGACCCAACCACTCAAACCTAAGGGCTCAATTAAAATGAAGAAAAACCTGCCACCTTCACTTTGTGGGACCTCCACAGCAGCAGCCCAAACATCATGGTTCCATGCGTGTCACACTAAGGGGGCCAAGCTAGAGAAGACCCAGGGCCTCTCCTCACCCTCCAAATGTTATCTCTCAGGAAGTGCCTTCACGCTGCCAATTCAAAATTCAGCTCAGAAATACTAGTAACCGGTCACCAAGCATTAGGAACACCGTTGCAAAACAAAAACAAAGCACCATGGGCCCTCGAACTTCACTGAGAAGACCTTATACCTCAAATACCAATCTAATGAACTTTGGGGCACTTTAATTTGCTAATTTCTCTTTTTTCTGCATAAACATCTAGGCAACAATTAAAAACAAAAAGATGAAAACTGGCCTCTCTGGGTTCTGGGGACTTATCTCTCTCTTCCCCCTTTCTCTCTGCTGTTCAGAGCCACCTCCACAGGAGTCTGAGAAAATGGAACTCAAGTCCCAAGTCCTATTTGCCATGTACTTAATGTACGCAATCTCACTTAGCCCTAAAAATAACCGAGTTAAACACCAACAACCCCATTTTACATACAAGACACAGACTGTGAAAAACTCTGTAAGATGCTTGAGGCCAGACACTTAACAGCAGGGCAAATATTCAACTTTATTTTATAAGACTAGTCTGCTTCTCAGACTAACCACCAAGTCCAAAGGGATTCAATTTTCTGCTTTAAAAAAAAAGTCCCCTTATTTCCACAATTCATGTCTGACCAATTCCAAGAGCTTCCTCCTAAACTTGATATGAAAATACTGAAGTAATTATTGGAGAAATTGAGCAAGAGCATGTAGAAGGCCTGCTCTGCCAGGGTTTTGCGGGAAGGTGACAGAGTTCCTACTGGCAGGATGCCTGCCCTCCTGCCAGGGCCCCTCACTTAGAACAACAATCTCTAAACTCTGGCATTAAAAAATGAGCAGCCATCAGTATGATAATCTTGGGAACAACCTGTGGCCGCCTGGGCCTGACTGCCTGTGGAGATCACAGGTCAAGGAAACGTTCTGCCCACAGGGAACCGTCCAGCCTCCTCCGGACAGGAGGAACGCAAACCCACCCTCTCAAGCTCCCAGCAGGCTGGTGGCCACCCTTCCGATCACCTGGGCAAGACACCTGAGACTCCAAGCTTCTCCCTGGAAGGAACAACTGGGTGTGGACTGGTTACAGTTTAGCCCTCCAGCCCCTGTGGTACACACATTGTACTCCTACAAACACCCTCAGTCCTTGGGAGGGCTCTGCTCACATAGGTTTCGGGGAACCTACAGGTGCACGAAGCAGGGTAGGAAGGCCCCAGGGCAGCGATCTACACAGAAGAGGAACTTGACACAATAGTAACAATTTATTAAGGGCTTACCTTCATTAATGTAAATACTTGTTTACACTGTTTCACCTAATCTTCCAAAACAACCCTGACTTAGGTACCATTTATCTTCCCCATTTAACTGATGAAAAACCAGAAGTTAACAAGTCACTCGCCCAAAAGCTCGCGAAAAGTTAACCCACTCAGGAGAGAGTGGTTCTAGGGAAAGACAAGATAGTGAACTGGATGTGAACTGGGAGGTCAATTTCCTTCCTCACTGGAGGCCTCATCATCAGTTTCCCAGACTGGAGTGGGTTACTCTGAGCTGCCTCTTGGTCCCTACCAGAGTGAGCGAGGCGAAGGCAGCTCCAAGCCCTAAACAAACTCAAACTCCAAAACTTCTTGAGGCGTGAGCCAGAGCAGGGAAGTCTACAAGGCCTTCTCCGGTTCTGGGGCCCTGGGGCCAGAGGGGCCCGCGGCTTCCTTGTACCACCCCCACCCCAGTCTTCAACGTGAATCCAAAAGGACTCGCCTCCCACCCTCTCACGCCATCCAGCCCGGAACCTCTGTCTGGGATTAGGGACGGTGATCCGGAACCGGGAGGCTGGATATCCTGGAAGAGGGCACGGGCGAACGTCCAGGGGACCCCGCCGAGGAAATTCGGGAAAGTCCCCGAGTCCTTACCGAGCAGTGGAGACTCCTCAGGGCATGCGAGCAGCGACAGCGCTGTGGTGGAGGGCACCGGGGCCGAAGTCAAGTTGCTCGCGGAGCCGGGGCCGGAGTGAGAGTCTGCCTCTGGGCTGGAGTCGCTACCCGAGCGCAGCTCGGAGGAAGCGTCCAAAGGCGGCAGCGGCGGGGCCCCTCGGGGTCGGAGCTCCCCGGAGGGCTGCTCGATCGCGGCGGCGCCGTTCGAGCCGCCCTGCAGCGGTGTTGGGACTCCGACCAGCTGAGGCAGGCGGCTCAAGTCGCGGCCCGCCAGGTAGTAGACGAGGGTGACGCCAAGATGCAGCGCGCAGACGGCTACGAGCAGGCGGCAGGCCCGCTGCAGGGACGCGCCCGGCATCGCGGCGCTGCCGCCCAGGAGCGGCTCCCGAAACCTCATCTTCCCGCCGCCGCTTTAAGAGGCGGGTGGGCTACAGCGGGGAGGGGCGGCCCGCCCGCGGGCCGCCGGCCAGGCGCTGCCCGACCGCGGCGCTTGGGGGAGGGGCCGCAGGGGAAGCGAAGAGGGAGCGCTGCCCCGGCTGGCAGGCGGCGGAACTCGGAGACTCCGGCCAGCGGGACCGCCCAGCGACCAGAAGTGCGCCCGAGGCGCGGGTGGGGGCGGGCGCGGGGCCGCCGGTTGGAGCGGGGTTTTCGGGACTCGAGCGGGAGGGCGGGGCCTCTGGGGCGGAGCCGCGACGCGCGGGCGGGGCCTCGGGAGGGGGCTGCAGGGGGCGGAGCCGTCCCGAGGGCGGCTGGCCTCCCCGGGGCGCCGCGCCGCGCGCTCGGGTTCCCACACCGCCCTCCTCCCGAGCCCTCGTCGTGTGGCTTCGGTCGCTACCGAGCCGCGCCTCCTCCGCTTCCTCTTCCTCCTCCTCCTGGCTGCCCTCGAGAGGCGCCGCCGCTTCCTGCGGTGCTGAAGGGCTGGGGTACGGGCCTGGGCCTACAGCGCGGCGGCGCAGAGAGCCGGCTGGTCGTTGACTTGAGGGGTTGGGGGCCGCGACGGCGCTCCAGCCAGGGCGCCTCGGTAGGCCTGATTGGGTGCGGAAGAGGGATGGGGAAAGGTTGTCCAGGAAGCGGGCTTCAACACCGGGAGGGAGGTGGGACAGCCGCGGAGGGATTCTTTGGGACCTTCGATACCCCTACCTTGGCGGGGCTAGACTCCTCTACCAATGCGGGGGCCCAGCAGGGAGGCGCCGCTCACCCTCTCGCCGCGGGAAAGGGCACGAGTCTCCGCTTGTCTGGCTCAGCCTACGGCAGGCAGCCCAGTCTGGAGCACCCACCCAGCTCGGTTTTGGGTGTGTGGGTGCCTCTTCTAGTGCATCCCGCCCCTCGAGGATACGTGCTTTGAGTGAGAGGGTGGCAAAGAGCCTCAGTAACTCCCTTGCTGGCCTGCAGGAGAGCAGCCAGCTTTGTTTACAGTTTACGTGAGCTCAGACACAATCCCAGGAAGTAGGAATTGTCCCTATCTCCCAGATAAAAGAGTTCAAGGCTCAGGAAGGTTAAGAAGCTTACCTAAGATCCCACAGCTAGTGAGAGACAGAGGTAGAATTCTGGCTCCAAAACCTTTATTTACCACATATTTGCCCCTGTTGATTTGCACGTCTGGGTGGGAGGCTTAGGCACTGAAGTTGCTCTGTTCAAATTTTACCCAGAGGCCACTCTTCAGGCACTCCTGATGCTTAGTGAGCAGGGACACCTCACCCCTGAGAAGGACTCACGGAAGTGCTGTTATTAATGTGGATGGAGAAGCTGAGGGCTCTGGCAGCCAACTGAAGTGGAGGGAATGATAGCAATAACTAGCATAGCTTGGGAGTTTACTATATGCCAGTCAAGCACAAGCCTAATTGCTTTATATGCATCGTCTCAATCCTAACAACACTTTCATGTAGGTTCTTGTTACTATCTCCATTTCGCAGATGAGAAAACTGAGGCTCAGGAGTTGACTCTTGGCTGTGATCATATAGAATACTTTCCTCACTTGGCCCTGGACACCAGGCTTTCCTGATCTTCCTCACTTCACTAGTCACTCCTCTGTCTTCCTTGTGGGCTTCTCCTTCTCTTCTCCAGTTGTTGAAGGCCCCAGGTCATAGTCCATGATGCTCTTTTCTGTCCGTTCAGACTCCCTAGGAGTGATGTATAATATCTGTATATAAATGATACAAAATTTCTGTCTTCTGCAGTTTTCCAAGGCCTCAGAACATAGCACATGATGTTCTTTTCTGTCTACACACTCCCTAGAAGTAATTTATAATAATCTGTTTGCTGATGATTGCAGAATTTCTATCTCTAGCCTAGATCTTCAGACTTATTTTCAAGTGCCTATCTTACCGGCATCTCAAACTCAATACATCCTGCCCACCCCACCCCCCCACCCCCCGACAACCTACTCCCTATACTATACCCCACTCTCATTCTTAACCTACCTCAGAGAATGGCACCACTGTTCAGCCAGTTCCTCAAGCCAAGCCAAAGCCTAAAAGGTGTCCTTGATGTGCCTGTCTTATGCTAAAATGCCATTTCCAGTCCCTCAGCAAGCCTTGTCAGTGCTACATTTAAATCATCAGAATTAACCACTTACTAATTCTGCTATAACTGTCTTGGACCAAGCTACCATCATCTTGGCCTGGGTTATAATGGTAGCTTCCTAATTGGTCACTCTGCTTTCACCTCCTCCCTGTCCCCTCCCCAGTCTGTTCTCCAAACAGCATCTAGGAAGATCTTTGTAAGCATAAATCAGATCGTGCCGTTTTATTCAAAACAAAATCCAAATGTGTAGGAGCCCTATCTAATTGGTTCCTATCTCTCTTCCCCACCCACATCTGTCACTCTCTACCATGTTCTCCCTGCTTTAGCCACACTAACCTAATTCCTATTCTCTGGAATTTGCTTATTTCTTCCTGCCTCAGGGCCTTTGTACTTGCTATTCACTTAGTCTGAAATACTCATCACCCTTATTTAATTCACATCTCCCAAATGTCACCTTAAGAGAGAGGTCTTCTCAGACTATCCTATGTAGAATAGTCCCCCCACCCAAATCTACTTAACCTGCTTGATTTTTTTCAGAGCATGTATCACTACCCAACACTATATTTATTGTTGTCTGTGTCCCTCACTAGACGATCAGCTCCATGAGTGCAGGAACTTTCTCTCTTCACTACTATATCCTCAGCTCCTGGAACTGAGCTAGTACATAGTGGACACTGAGTAAATATTTGTTAAAATACCTGTTAAATGAATGCTTACGATCATCTTGATTATGTGGGAAGGGGAGAAGGGAAGAACTATTGCTAAGTTATTTTACTTTATTTTATTTTCTCTTATTTTAAGAGAGAAAGCGCGTGCACACAGGGAAAGGAGGGCAGAGGGAGAGGGAGAGAGAGAACCTTAAGTAGGCTCCACACCCAGCACAGAGCGTGACACAGGGCTCGATCTCACGACCCAGAGATCGTGACCTGAGCCAAATCAAGAGTAAGATGCTTAACCGAATGAGCTACCCAGGCACCCCGCTAAGTTATTTTAACTTTATTATTTATTTATTTATTTTAGAGAGAGAGTGCATGGGGGGGGGGGTTGTGGAGCAGAGGGAGAGAGGGATAATCTTAAGCAGGCTCCATGCCCAGCACAGAGCCTGACATGGGGCTCGATCTCACAACCCTGAGACCATGATCCTAAGATCATGACCTGAGCTAAAGTCAAGAGTTGGATGCTCAATGGACTGAGCCACCCAGGCACCCCATCCCGCTAAGTTATTTTAAACACATAAGTTAAGAGTTGTTCACCAGGGAATTGGTCAAGGTGAAGCTGACCTCAACAGCCTATGCCTAGAAGAAAATGCCTGTCCAATGAGTGAGGGTGGGTCTAAATAATTCCCCAACTGAAAACTGAGAGGAGGTAGAGATGGAGATACGTCTTCCACGTATCCATGTAATGGCCCAGAGACAGGATGGAGTGTAGGGAGGTTAGGGGTCACAGACTTATCCCAGGACCCTCTTTGTGGCCAGGAAGCAAGGAAAAGAAACACTTGCTGTTGATTCCTTGGGACCATGCAGAGCCAGTGAGGTTCCCACCAGCCTTATCAGCACCCCCACCACCATCTAGAGGTGCCTACAATCCGTAAATTTTTTGCTTCAGAAGGTCCAGAAGGTCAGAAACGTTCAGAACAATATTGTCCAGCTGTCCAAACAGGAACTGGTCTTAGAAACAGAGACAGACCCAAGGCAACCTTTGCCACCTCTTCCCCCTTTCCACTTTGTCAGGTGGAAACTAATCCACATCAGAGGAGATACCTGGAGAGGAAGTTGCAGGGCTGACTGGCCAAAAAACTGGAATCTGGGTTTTGTAGTTTGCCTGTTCAGTGCTGATCTGCCCAGAGCCACCCAGCTCCTGCTTCTCCCTGTGGGCTACCTTCAGCTGGTTAGCGGCATTTCCTCTGCGCCCTTATTTGCACCTGTCAGTTTACATTTCTCTTTCACCTCAGTAGATCAGAAGGACATGGAATAGTGCCTGGCACGTGGTAGACCGTTATTTCAAGGATCTGTTGCTGCATAAGATAGCACCCCAAAACTTAGTGTCTTCAAACTAACAGTTTCTTTCTCCTAATCGTGTAGGTTGACTGGCAGTTCTGCTTCACATGGCCACAGGCACAGCTGGAAGTTCCAGAATGGCTTCCCTCACACGGCAGGCAGTTGGTGCAGGCTAGAGGCTGCCTTAGAATGGTCGTGGGTCAGGGGCCTTGGCTCTTCTCCACTCGGACCTCTCCATAAAGGCCTTTCACACGACTGCTTGAATTGCCTCACAAACTGGAGGGTGAGTTCCAAGAAGGAGCATTTCAAGACAAAGTAAGAAGATGCAAACCCTGTAAGGCCCAGCCTTCAGCATCACTCATTTGGGTATTTTAGTTAACTTATTGGGCAGTCTAGATTCAAAGGGAGTAGATGTGTCTTCCTCTTGTTGGGTGGAGGAGTAAAGAATCTTCAGCCCTCTTTTTTAAACCACTGCAGTTTGCCCAGTGGCAACAAATTATTTAGATTTCCCCCACATGTAGAATATATTAATCTCCTCCCAGATCCCCCAAAGGCTGAGCCTATTAAGACTTCAGGCTCAGGCTCCAGGTCAAGAATTTCATCATCTGAATCAGGTCCAGATGATTCCTCAGGTTCAGAGTCCTGTAAACTATGAAACAAGTTCCCTTCATCCTCTTTCTGAGCAATTCAGTCCAAAAGCCATTAGGTAGGGATGAGCAAGGTAGGAGTCTAAACCTCATAGACAGTGTGTCAAAGCCCAATCAAATGAAGAGAGGATGGGGTGATGAGTGGGGAGGGTGGCAGCCTTAAGTAGGGTACAGAGTGCAGCGTGTCAAAGCCCAAGCAGAGTAGAGGGCATCCATGGGGGGTTAGGGTATTAGGGGTTTCTGTGAATTAGAGCAGCCCAGAACAGGGTGTTAGAGCCCAAGTGGGATGAGGAGATTGTTAAATACAGGGAGACTGATTAGAAGTAACTATATGGGGCGCCTGGGTGGCTCGGTTGGGCGACTGCCTTCGGCTTAGGTCATGGTCCCAGGGTCCTGGGATCAAGCCCCACATTAGGCTCCCAGCTCAGCAGGAAGCCTGCTTCTCCCTCTCCCACTCCCCCTGCTTGTGTTCCCTCTCTCACTGTGTCTCTCTCTGTCAAATAAATAAATGGAATCTTTAAAAATAACAACAACAAAACACTAAAAAAAAAGAAGAAGAAGTAACTATATATATGGCTAATGAGAGTCACCTAAGTTTCTGACTGTCAGAGAAGGGAGTTACAAATATAGACAAGGACAAAACAAAAATGAACTCTTTGACACTTTATTGGAATTAGAGAAATTGGTGTGAATTCATGGTTTTCAATATATAGATAGATAATGAAATAAATACAGGGGTGTGTGTGTGTGTGTGTGTGTATTTACATGTAAATATGAGTAAATACCTGGGAGAACTGCTGGGAGCAGAAACTTCCCAATAGCAATGAGCATATTTAACACTCAAATCTTGGTTTCTAAACATCATTTTCCAATAAAAGGAACTAGGTATTCTTGGAGAAAAGGCTGATTTCAGGAATGGACCAGGGATATTACAAGATGAACCTAGAAAATCATGTACCAAAAAGTAAGAAGGGCTCAAAGAATAGTGAGTATGTGTCAAAATAACACACAAATCAGTTTGAAGGAGCTCCCATTGGCCAAGTATGGAACAATTTGAGCATGAAAATAAATATTGATAGGAACAGTTTACAGCCAATTGAACAAAATAAGAAACTATGAGTTCATACTGATATAAATAAAGAAATGAACATTTGATGAGTAACAAGATATTTACATAATTTCAAAGTATCTCCTCCACAAAATACTTACAATTTCAATGGGAAACATAGAAAAATCCAAATTTTGAAACATTCTAGAAAATAACCATCCTGAAATCTTAACAAATATCAAGTTCATGACAGTCAAGGAAAGACTGGGGAACTGTTCCCCACTGGAGGGTACTAAAGAGAAATGACAACTAAATGCAACACTGTGATTCTGAAGTGGATCCTTCTGCTGTAAAATATTTTGAGGATGACCAGTGAAACTTGAATCGGGACTAGGGATAAGATGATACTATTGTATCAGTGTTAATTTCCTGATTTTGATGGTTGTATTGTGGTTATGTTAGAAATATACATATGAGATTTGGAGGGTAATATGACATCATGTCAGAAGCTTACTCTCAATCCAAAAAAGTATTTGTACTAAACTTGCAAGTTTTCTGTAAGTTATCTACCCTCCACCCATACATCCAATATACAGTGGGAAGACCAGAACAGAAAAATCACAGTAGACACTCCCACTTAGAAAGGAGGTAATAATAGGCACTGGTCCTTAGGAAATCTGAGATCCAAGTGTGCGTGTCACCAAGTCCCCCTTCTCCAGAGGCAGGGAATGTGATAGCTCCCATTTCTACTGTTCTTCATGTTTTATGGTTGATTTCCTGCCCTGTCCTGATCATTCTTCTTTGACCAGGTTCCAGTCTGCCTATTTGCTTCATAAAAGACTAGTGCCCAGGGGCACCTGGGTGCCTCAGTCGGTTAAGCGTCTGCCTTCAGCTCAGGTCATGATCTCCGGGTCCTGGGATCCAGCCCCGCTTCGGGCTTCCTTCTCAGTGGGAGTCTGCTTCTCTCTCTCTCTCCCCACTGCTTGTTCTTTCTCTCTCAAATAAATAAATAAAATCTTAAAAAAAAAAAGAAAAAGAAAAAGAAAGACTAGTGCCCAGGACTGGATGCAGCATTCCAGCTGGGGTCCAAGCGACAGAAGAGAGCAAGATCCTCAGTTGCCTTCATAATTCCAAATATCATACTTTCATAGATGCCTTCTAACACAACGTTTACTTTTTGATATTCATGTTAAACTAAAAGGCAGGGCTGAAAACAGAGCCCTGAAACAGTGGAAACACCCTACAAGTTGACTTGGATCCTTTAAATACAGTCATTGTGCCAATCGGTGTTTTTGACTGCAAAACAGTCACTTACACCACGGCTTGGCCATGACCACCACTGCCAGTGAATACTCAACACCACCACTTCAAGACTGTTCAAGCTGCTGCTGCTGTCACCATGTATACTTTCCACACTACCCTTGCCTCTTAGCATCATCCCCTAAAAATTCAAAGTCCCTGGTGAGAGTGGCTGGGCCCAATTCACATGCTTCAGTCCTAGCTGCCAGGAAGTGAAAAGGAGAACCTTCTTTCTGCTTCCACGGTGGGAGCCAGGGCATTACAGTCCTCCAATATTGTATTATTTTTAGAAAATTATTCCAAAATAAGGGATTGCATATTGAGTGGACAAATATTATGGCAAAGGTTTACTCCAGTCATTTAGCAGGTTACTTTTCCTCTTAACTGTACTATCATCCAACTCATTTTTCCCATTTTATCCATAAGGATCTCTTGGCAGAGATTGTTAAAGGCCCTGCTGAAGACCCAGTTTGCCAACAGACTATCAAGTACATCTCTGTGATCTGTCAGGTCAGGGACCTGCCATAAAAGGAAATTTGATTGCCCTGGCCCTGACTTATTCTGAGAAATCTCTACTTCCTTTATATCTTTAAAAATCTATTCCTGGGTAAATATAGTTTGCAGAATCAACTTTTTCTCTTTGTAATGGACTGGTGTTAATTTTGTCTACTCTTTATTCATTCCTCCTTATGGTAAGAGAAGGTCCACTCTTCCACTGTGTGGTTGGGATAGGCTAACCTCAGAACTCAAATACCATATAATTAATTGGGATAGGGCTCCTCAGTGGACTTATATTTGGCCAATCAGAGCACTGTTTCCCTCTGGCCACAGTGACTGGTTCAGGGATTGACACACGGTCCAAGGAGGCCAAGAAACAAAGATCACATCTTCCCTCAGGAATTCTGATTGAGAAATATTGAGAAATACTGAGAAAAAGTCTCTTCCTTTCCTCTGGGGTGGCCATCCTGGAGTTGCCAAGGGTATTAATATTAGTTTTCTAGGACTCTGTAACAAATTCCCAAACACTTGGTGGCTAAAAACAACAGAACTTTATTCTCTCACAGTTCTGAAAGCTAGAAATCCAAAATCAAGAGGGCAGCAGAGCCCAGCTCCTTCTGAAAGCTCTAGGAAAGAATCTTTCCTTGCTTCTTCTTGCTCCTGGTGGCTCCCAGCAGCCCAGCATTCATTGGTTTTTAGCTGCATCACTCCATTCTGCCTCTGTCTTCACATGGCCTTCTCTGTGTATGCTCCTCTTCTGTCGACGTGTCCTCTCCTCTTTTTGCTAGGACACAAATTACTGGAAATAGGGCCCACTCTAATCCAGTATGACCTCATCTTGACGTAACCAATTATATCTGCAAAGACCCTATTTCCAAACAAGATCTATTCTGAGGTTGTGGGTAGACATGAATTTGGGGCGTACACTATTTAACCCCCTACGGCTATCGTGGAAAGAGCCTGCCTGAGAATTAAGCCAATACGGAGGCAGGGATATGTGCCCTAGTATGGCCATATTTGATGGCCCCTGGACTGATGAATTACATGAGTTGGCAAGTTTCCCTTCTTTTCCTCAAGTCTCAGCTTGAAGTGACAGAAAGAAACTACCACCCTGACTTTTGCAAAATTAGAAAATCATTTGCACATGACCAATGTTCCAAACTTCTTCCTACTGCACGCGTCCTCCAAAAGTCTCTGACAGGAATTGTGCAATCCCACTTGGAAGTGGAATGGATTTACTTCATTTACTTCATTTGGCCAGGAAACAAATTTATTTTAAGCAGCTAGATGATTTCTTACAATGTATTCCACCATTATTCCTTTTAATTTTTATTATCAAAAATTTCAAAAATACACAAAAGTAGGAAGAATAGTATAATGAACCTCAATGTTTCCATCACCCCATGTTTGCTTCCTCTATACCTCCAACTTCCCTCCACCTCCTGTAGGATTATTTCAAAGCAAAACTCAGATACCATGTAATTAATTCATCTTCTTCAACCACTATTCTAAGTTTTAATCCCTCATTACTGCATTTGAGGAGTTTTGTCCCTTGCAAGACAATGCAAGGCACTTTGAACATAAAAAGTGTATGCCAGACGTCTGCTGAATGGAGACCCTGCCATCAGAATTTCTAGCCTATTAGGAGAGATAGGACAAGAAGCTCCTCCAGTGCTTACCAGACTTTAATGAAAATCACCTGGGGAGATGTTAAAATGCAGAAGCTACTCGAATATGTGGGAGGGGGTGGGGAATTCTGCAGTTCTAATAAGAACTGCAATGCTGGGGCGC